ACCGGCTAAGTCCCTTCGATTAAGGCTTTTCGAAAGAATACTGTTAAAGGGCCGGCCAGTACGGTTGCTAATTCGTTGAGTAATCTAGGGTTCGTTGAGTAATCTAGGGATGACTTAAGAGAGATGCAGAATCATCCCAACCATACGGTTCCTATGATTCAATTTCATAATATAAATAAAAATTTCACTATTAATAGTGAGATTTGTACCAGCATAGATAACACAAAATTCTACCAGTACTTTTCTAAAGCATTATAGTAGCATCACAAATAATAACAACCAAACACTCCCAAGAAAGATAACATGAAACTTAACAAAGTTAATCCACCAGCAATTATAGTTGGAGAGAACCCACCATCGTCAACAGAAAATATATTGCAAAAATTTATTTCGAGATTTATTTGGCTGTCCAAAGATGTATTCTATTTGCGTTTACACCAGGGGGCGAAGGAAAGTCAAGCTAGTTAATCCTGTTGTAGTTCCAAAATTTAGGGTCGGCGTTGGGATCTGAAGCCTTGTTGAGTATGGGCACGGCAATGCTGTTATACTGCAGCAACAGCTGAAGCAGCATCTTCACTACGTCAGGTTGTTCTGAAGCGACGTCTTTCAGCTCGCAAGGGTCGGGCGACATATGGAACAAGCAAGCGTCGCTGTGACGTTCGTGCCTCTGAATACGAAACTCGATTCATCTGCAAACGAAACTCGGTTTCTTCACTAGCAGGGTTGTAATATCTTCAAATAAATCATGAACGTGAATAAGATTCGTGCTGATATATGAAACATCTGCTGTTCCATGAAAATGTTAAGCAAACATGAACGCACTTTGAAATGCTGCGCATGTTCAAATGTGCTGATATGAGGTGAAAAGCAGCATTCCTGAAATGTGATGCTATCCACTGCGACAAAAAATTATAATGATATCGTTCCTCACAAATGTATCTGCCGTTACGTGTGCACTCGAGTACGTATTGTAAGGTGACAATGTTAATACCATCCGTCCTTGAATATTTCCTCATTTATCATCCATGTTGAAAGATAATCTCCTTTGTTGAAAGATAAATCTGAGCTCTGCCCAGACCCGGAAACCTCAGTCTTGGGCGAGTACCGCTGTCTTTAAATCCCTTGCTCTTTCCATATCCAACAGGACAGTGACGCAACTCAACGTCAGAGTAGAGAGCACGCGATTATAATCTAGACTTATCCCTACTGCAACTGGGCGCCGAAGACATCAGTGTTAAATTTCCTCCTAAACTCTAAGCCGAACTTTAATCCTACATAATATTGAATACTCGTTCACGCTGTTCCTCAATAACCTCGAATCACGCTACAACCGGACCAATCGTCAGGTTATACTCAATTACGATTCATGTCGCATCGTCCACTACTAAATCAATCGCACAATATCCTAGTAAGTGGAGGAATGTATGTCGCTGTTACGAGAGAGCGGGTAACTATTAATAAATATAACAGAGCTGCCTAAACGCTCAATGTCCCCGGGCAAGAGACGCTACTGGTAACGAGGGATATCGCATACAATAAGACCTACTAAGGCACAAGAATAAAATTCAACCCGAAGTTTTATTCAATCTATACAAGAAACTTAGACACAAATATAAATACTAACTACCTACTTCATCGGCTGCTTAACTAAACCATTTATTAAAATAGTCGACCCGCGACAATTCTAAAACCTATTGACCTTTACACAAAACCGAACACGAGACGCGCCGACTACCCGAGAGCCGCGTATCTCTTTCAGGGGAAGCCCTAAAACATTAACGGGCGACCCCAAGCGGCACAGACACCGGACCTAGAAGGGTAGCCTGCCGAAGACCACAACTGCCCTGAATGTAATGGACCATCATGATTCCTGCCTTCCGGAACGTAGCCTTCAACACTTCAAGCCGTCCGTATCTAGGCCGTGGGTCGAACCAGCCCTCGGTCGAACGGCCACTTGTCGAAGGACGATACATTTTGGAACAGAACTATGCTATCTGAAACCTAACCTCAGATGCGGTGAACGTAAAATTGCGTAATTCAACGATGCTCGGAAGTCAGATTCGATCCGCGGCCTGGTGGTGCACGGCAGGTGGTGGTCAAGGCCGGAGGAAGACAAAGCCGAGTGGTGCACGGCTGATTGGTGGATATCCGGAGAGATCCAAGGCGTTCGATTCAGGGCTTATTGGTGCACAAAATTGGTGGTGCACGGCTGCGCTCTCGCCTAGAACACGATGGCTCGACCCATGCAAGCCTAGGGGGGTCACGCCTCCACGAGGAACTTCAAGACTCTAGTTAACTCATTAGGCGCTCCAATCCCTAGGGTACGACGGTAGGCGCCCAACGCGGCTCGGCTATGCAGAGCACACGGGAAACCAAGGGGCAGACTGGTCAAGTCGGCTCCCACGTCAGGTAAACACTGCAGGCAGTCGGCTTCTTCCAACGGTGCACGTTCACGGTACACACCCTTGAACAAACGCCTGAGAGGAACATGGTCGGATCTCAGAAGCTGACGCCACACCAGAAAAGGTCCCTCCCACCTGGGAAGCAGAATATGCCATTAAATCTCCCTGGCAAAAATAGAGAAAAAACCCACTTCACAGTCCACTAAACGTCATATAAATTCTGAACCGGCAATATTAACAGCGTCTATGTACGACTCCTACACACAAGCCGAGCCTAACCGGCAATCACAACCAGGACACTAAAACCTCCTCACCTCATCCACGGAAGCCAACGAACCAAATGGCCAGCCTAAAAGCGTTCAGCCATCTCGTGACCTCGCGGCAGATTCGTTCAGAGAACACCTGCGTGTCAAACCTCTACATCGCTACCGTAACAAAATTTAGAGCCGAGGGCGGCTATGAATTAAGGAACGCCTAGGACTCGGGGAGCATAGTAAATCAGCTTCTCTTTGTCTGCTTTTTGGTCTACATTCCAATCTCAAGTCAGACAGCTACCAGAGCCTGGTCCTTATTCTGGCGGCCCTTGAGCGGTACGTTTTAGAGTCATCCCCGTATCCGGGGAAACTCTGGCCGAGTCTGACTACGTGATTAAAAAAATCGCACCTCCCCTACCTCTGTAGTGAGAGGAAGGGAGGGGTAATTGAATTTATACGTGATTTGCTATCAATGCCTGTTTCTGTAACTCGCTGAATACAAAGAGCATTTTAAGAAAATTAAAAATCGTGGGTAATAATTTTCGTAGAAAAAAAATTTTCCCTTCACATCCGAAGAAATAATGCAAAAAGTTATCGATATTCAACTAATGGTAACAATATCAGCGTTGTGTATTCTCTGCTATGAGGAACGCTGCCAGATCGAAATATACCAAGGCAGTGGAAAATGGACGAAAAATTAAACCGTGATGCTCTAAATTTTCGATTATATTTAATTAACTGATCACGGCTTCCCATTCTATGCATCCTCATTGGTAAGCATTTACAGCCATAGAGAGCATACAATTGCCTACATACCCAGTATAGCAGTGTAATCGACATTGGAAAGCAGGCAGGCGTTAATATGAGATTAAATTACACTTAGCTCACCTGCAGTTCCGTGGAAGAACGACGCGGTCTAGTCTCGAACGCTGGTCTTTTTTTTTTAGTTATTCTTATAGGAGCACTGGAAACTAGTCCATAAAGCCGCCCTTTGCCTAAACTCGCTTTAATTGATACCTAACAGTCTAACAGCTCTGAAAGTGAAAATCTGAAACAAGAGAGAACACACACACAGTAAAACGTGGTAAAGGGAACAGTGAAAATTCCGAACGCTGGTCTAGACTCTAGACGATGTCTAGCCAGCCTCATGGCAGCACGCCATGAGGCTGACAATTGACCCTTATAATTTTTTAAACTAACTGATAACGGTTATGAACAATAAATAACATTTTCCTTTCTTGACTATGCAGAAAATAATTATTCCGTTTCTAAAATAAAAAATAGTTTATAAAAATAAACATTTAAAATTAAATACTTTACTGGCATTGATGAGCTATACGCATCTTCAACTCTAGTTCTTCGTTGCTGTGAAGATTTGCTCGTATTTCCCTTATTCGAGAAAACTGTAGATAATCGCGATTTTTCATTAGCTTTTCAAAAAGCAATTTTTTAAAATAGCGGTTCCCAAACTGTGGTATGCGAGGGAACTCATGAAGATGTTTGCTTTCATATCATAGTGATGTCGGCGCTGATGAATAGGTATGATGTGGCCTGTCGCCGATTCTTAAACTTTTTGTTACTTTTTGCGATTCACAGATCTAAAAACAGGTTCTTTAACCGGATTTTTTCAAACTAACAATAGATTGAAATAGCTAGTAGACTTCCACCAAGTTCGATATGGTGCTAGGCAATTCAAGTCTGAACTTATATTTCTCCATGGCTTTATCTAGTCAGTTCTTGAACGCCTTCATACGCGGAGCGGTGACGCGTTCATGTTCCACACGCCGGTGACTCGAAGCAAGAAGTAATTTTGTCTGCACCTGCATAACTAAATGCATGTATATGACATGCCGAAATCGCGGAATTGAAGATTCCATGGAATCGGTAGCCAGTTGCCGAATCTGTGGAATCCAGCATTTTGTTTCTGATTCAGAAAATCGGACGTTAGAGCTAGAGTTAGAACATAAATCGACAGTTAGAGTTAGAAAAGGTCAGGTCAAGTTCGGTTCGAAGTTAGAAAAAGTTAGGGCAGTTTATAGGCTAGATAGGTTCGGCCAAGCCCACTCTTGCCATACTCTCAGGAAACTATAAAGTCTGCAAGGCGACTCTGACTAGTCACTGATTGCGGTCGAGTGGCCGAGCAGACCCAGAATAACCTTACCCCAACCATAGTGAGTCTTTCGCAGAGTCTCTATCATACCTTAATTTTTGTTAGGGTAGCAGCATGCCTGGATTTTTGACGGTCAGCGTTGCACGCAATATATTTGCGAAAAATTCGTGCATAGAGTACCTTGTGCAAAATAATTCTTCACACAGCAATACACAATTTATTTAAATGGCTTAATACATGGGAGCAAATAATACAAAATGCAATATAAATAAATTATCTTGGTGACGATATTGACCTCAAAACGCGATTTATCACTTCAAAACTCTGCGCTCGCCCTTTTCTCTTAGTAGTTTGATACCTTGACTCCGAAGTGGTACATATGCGTACCACGAAGTGTATTTCTCCTGCAAGTAGTGGTACATAATAAATTCATATAGTACAAAAAAGGAAATGAGAGTGTACAAGATTAAGTAACGGGAGTCAACGTGTTATTTTGACTTCGCAAGCTCTCTGTCGACCCAGGCTTGTACTTCTTCCTTGACAAGGTCCATTGGTCCGACGCTGTTGAGGATGACGTCATGAAAATCTTTGAGGTTGAACTTGTCTCCGAGTTGCTGTTCTGCCGAGGCCCGGAAAGAAGATATCTGCATTTGGCCGATCTTGTAAGACAAGGCTTGAGCCGGCCATGCGATGTAGCGGTCAACTTGATCCTGTGAATATAGAGTTTATTTGAATTATCAAATTTATTACTATCATTATCATATCGTTTATAATCATATTATATCATTATCATGTCATTTCATTATCATATCATTTCATTATCATATCATATCATTATCATAACAATGATCAATGGCTATAAAATTGAATCACTATTTGTTTAATTAACAAGGTTTCACGACAAAATTCAGATAAACGACGAATTTAAAAACCAATTGTTTCGTCACAAGGTTTCACGACAAAATTCAGATAAGCGACGAGTTTAAAAACCAATTGTTACGTCATATTGCTTCAATAATTGCATAATTCTTCACGGTAATGCATATTTTGCCACGCTTTATACGTGGAGACCTGCACTGGATATACAAGAAGACTTTTTCAACCTCGTGTAGTGTAAAAGTTGGTTAAAAAAGTTTTAGCTAATAATTGCATGCATCTACAGTTACTTTTCAAAGTAACTGACATTTAAACTGAGGTATTTGCCATACCATGCAGTGCTCAAAATTGCCATTACCGTCATAGAGCGAGTTCGACATTATAGGTCCACTTCTTCCGAGCTACCTAGAAAAACGTGTCGATCGTCAGTATAATTACCTCAATAAAAGACCTAGGCCGGATGACATAGACTAACATGTACTGAATTGCTTGCTCCTTTGACCAGCCAAAAGCATGGATGCCTGTTGAACAAATAATCACGTAGAAAAATTTGAAATGTGATAGTTCCAACTGTGTAAATATTCAATATATCGTACTTCAACAGGCACGCTACAATTTATGAGTAGTCTTAACGTGTTAACGATTTTAACTGCCCGTCATATAACCTCAAAATTTTCTTAAATATTCCGCTGTAATCTCAGGTATTTATTTTTTTAATGAAACAGCAATCTATTTCGGGCATCAGCTCAATTTTTGTTGCCTATTCACATTCATTACTTAGTTTTGAGCAATTAAGTATGGGTATGCACATGTTACCGGTGTCGACGACAAGTCGACACGCTCGGAAGATTTCGTCGGAGTAATGGCCGAGTCGGTCCCACAGATTTTCGTAGACGCCCATTTCGAAGCCCAGGCTTTCTGCGTACAACGCCCAGCCTTCATTGTAAAGTGAACGCGTTGGGAAGCTGCAAACAGACAAGGATAATGCATTTGTGTTGCGTGAATATTTATTCTTCATCAAAATTTGATGATGTCCATTCTGTTTTCAATTCAGGTTTTGGATCGCAAGCTTTTCAGAAACGCGTTGATTCTTTAAAAATTTAAAAGCAAAGAAAACTCCACAAAAATTTATAGTATCTCTAAAGAAAACGCTTCGGAATCCAGCTCCATCGTCAGTTCGAAAATTGTAGAACACAGATAAATCAGTAATTAATACAGTCAAGATTACAACAAAAAACCTAAGCTGTAAAGCCTACCTATTTACAATTTCAAGCGGGTAAGAGCTAAAAGCTTAATTCAAATTAGGCCTCTGGTTTAAAATATACAATGATTCTAAAATGCGCAAATCAGAAACACCGGAACTGGAAGCTCACCGGAACTGGAAGCTAAAACTTTGAAATCACTGTCAGAAACTGGAACATCGCACTGCTCGGCGTGAGCCCGCACAGCCGAATGAGGGGGGCGCGATAGTAAGTTACCAGTTTTATACAACTCCTGCCCCTATGTTCTGCGACCCTAGAGCAAAGATTGCGTCATCCCGACCTGCGCAGATGCACATCGTGCACAACTAGTTTCGCAATACTATATATTTTTAAAGAAATATCTTCAGACCAATCGTTTTATCGTTTAGTACTATCTATCGTTTCTACCTATCCAGTAATATCGTAGTAATATCAAGCGTTTGGTAATATCTTCGGAAAATTCTCCAACTAAGAACAGAGTTTCAGGTCCAAGTAATAATCGACATCAGAAGTATCGTGGATACGTGGATAAACAGCCTCAACATACTTGCGTTGCCAGGCAATCCACCAAATTAGACGGCGCACCAAGTAAGTGTAAGATGTTAGAAAAATTTTGCGTCCTGCCTTGAGTATCTATCATGAATTTAAAACCGGTAGCGTCACAACCTTTTTTGTGAGAAATTATGAATGCATATAACCTAATAGAATAAACCGATAATTAATCAACTTCAATCTCAAGTGCAGTTAAGCTGAAAAAATGTATTTGAAACATGGAATATATTGAGAATATATTTGAGACATGGAATGATAGTTTAAATTTGATTGAAAAATAAAAATAGTAAACTAATGAATAATAAATTAAATTACTAAACTATTGATTAGTGAATTACATTAGTAAACCAGTAATTTATAAACCAAATTAGTAAACTATTACTTAGTAAATTCGATGAGTATACTAGTGCTAATTAAATAAATCAAATCAGTTCTAAATAGATCAGCAAGACAACAGGGGTGCCTGGCAGCAAGGGAGACCCCGACTGGACATGTCCTTAGGCGTGACACTGTCGAGGAAGCGTTTGTAGCGATCTAATTATAAATAATTGCATCACCTAATAATGTCAGTAAATGCTGACATTTTATAACAAAAATTTTTGAAGAAAAAGAAGGTGTTTGTACATAGATTTATGCTGCACGACCACGTGGCACACCTGGAGGGCATTTGCGTGTAGGCAGATGGAAAAGTGGTCCGTCTGAAGTTTGGAATAAAGCTGGACTCGAGTGCATGAGAACCCTGTAAATGGTGCCCCGGGACTCCTTCGTGCAGGGATAAGGTCACAATAGGTAATTTCGTGTGTGCAGATAAAATTCGTGTGCCAATCTTGAACGTGCCTGGTCGGGTGCCATCAGGAGTTCCAGCTTCGTGAAACGCTCCTCCTGCATCTGGCTGTTCTTCTACCCTGAGCACACATGGCTGGGTTGAGACACAGGACGCACATGTAGAAAAGTTATTAATGTCATAGTTCATTGCTGGCTGTTTTTGGGTTACATATCATTGCTTTTGTCTGTCAACTTTATACTGTTTATTCTTTAATAAAACGAACCCTCGCATTAAAATCTCACATGCTTTGAAAGCACAGTGATCATTAATAATTTTTTTTATGTTGATAGCAAACTCCAAGATTTTAAAAGGTGATGTATTATTAACTATTACACACAGGTTTTATTGTATACATGTTTACTTCAGGTTTTTAATAGCACTTCAATAATTAATTTTGCATTTGTATGTAATCCCTGTACTTGGGAACCAGCGTTGAAATTTAAACCCCACTAAGCGCACTGAAAATAACCAACTGATTCGAATCTTTGCGGACTTATTGCAGCACAAACTACGCCACCAACAGCGACCAAACTTGAGGAAATAAAGACTACTGGCAAATTTATCTTTGCAATCCGTAAAAATAACTTCAGGAGTTAGATACTTCAGTTGCGCTGCAGGCATTTTGTTGAAGAACGGCTTTGCTGCGGGTATAGTGATGTTGTGGACAACATGTCTGTAGGTGGCGAGCAGCTCCTCTACGCTGGAGAACTGCTGGCTTGGGTCGTCCTGCAGCTGCGACACAAACTCCCGCAGTGTCTGGTTGTAGCCCAGGTCGTACACCACCTGCAATTGATGTTTCGCTCTCATTGTATAATTTTGATATCAAAACCATAAATTTCGTGAGGTTTCTTATTTTGAATGATAAATTTTGATAATCAACCATGACTTAAAACTAAACCTTCACAAATTAGAATAAATTTCGAATCGTTCTCAACGAACGGGTATTTTTCATGTTTTAATTAAAACAATATTGCAAACTTCAAAGACTCGAAATTTGTGTTTGTAATTAGAGAACTTGTAACTGGAAAAAATAATGAATACATGTTTCTGATTTTAGAAAAAAACTGTGTGAGACATTAATTTCAATGAAATATGTTCCCCTCAAGACTCGACATAAGAGACCACAAGAATATTAGTAAATTCGTACATAATAGTGCGACACTGATATTTAGAAAGTCCTATGGCACACCTGTTGCATGAGGGCTGCTATCCTCTGGACCTCCTTCAGTCCGGTCTCGTGGATTTCCTGCGCCGACAGGTTCTGGCCCGTGTAGAACCTGCGGATGAATGTCTGGATGATGAGGATGATTTGATAACGTGAACGTGAATTATAGGATGAATCTTTTTTGAAGGTAAATAAAGTCTCAAGTCGTGTGATTATTGAAAATAGTTAAAATTTCAAACAGTCAAAGAACAATAATATACATCCAAATATTAAAATAAATAAACCGAACAAGACGTTCAAAGGAAATTTTAGTTCCAATGCTGGCGTTTTGCTTCTTGAAGGCAGTTGCTGGTTGGGGCCAAAGCTGATTGTAATAAAATGAATTAATTAATTAAATAATTGGGCAATAATTAGTCGCCGAATGTTGTCAAGGCTAAAACAGACCAACACACATAAAAGTGCTTGCAGAAAGAGCGTTATATATCTAAGTGAATTCCAAGTTAAATATCGATATCATTTATTATATGTCACTTACAAATTATGTCGTTATCTCATATAAGTAAGATACTGCAGAGGTTCTTACTGGATGGCTTGCGCGTAAAGTTTGTCACCGTTTGGCAGCGATGTGATGGCAATGTTCTTACGAGGGACGTACTTCGTGGACATGAAATTTTTCAGCTTCATGAATGCTGGAGTTATCTGAAATACATAACCAAATTTAATGCACACTGTTCACTTCCTGAAATTCATTCTTTTTAAACATTTAATCGTAAGATGTTTGTGTGTGTGTGATTGTAAGAAATTTGCTATTAACTGCCAGAATACTTCAATTTGGGAAAGTTATGCATTGAAAATCATAGTTCTTAAATTTTTTCCATTCTTAATAACATTCACATTCTTCCCAATCTTAAATGATGTCAAAATATTACCCAAATAACTGAGTAAGAGGCTCACCATGTGTTTAACATCCTAGTGCAGCGGGGATGTTCAGGAACACTAATATTAACGCCTATCAATGTATCTTAGAAAAGAAAATAGCGGAAGATTGCATTTTCTCTGAACCAGTTTCTTCAATATTACCTTATCTCTAATGATCGCCGCTGCCTGGTGTTGCAGGGAGGCCACTTCGCTTGGCAAAAAAGTTTCAGGTAACTTCTGGAAAAATTCAGTAAATATCGGAGATTCTCGAGGGATATCCGAAATAAACTCTCCCAACTCCTTATCCAGTCTGTTCTGTGGGATATAAGTTTGAAATCAATGCAGCTACAACACTCAAATATAATACTCATCATATAAAAATTAACATATATCTAAATAGACGTAAATGAATACTCATTTATATATTTATATTTTTTCTCCTCTTCATCCCAAGAGAAATCTTTCAGTTCCTAAAAAAAGTGTCGTACAAGAAGATATCATCCATCGCATTGAATTTATTGTGCAAATTGAAAATTAGATTAGCTGACCAGTGACAATGTAAAATTTTGAACATGATCAGAATGACTTGTAGGAACCCTGGTAACGCACCAAGTTATATTCGTGCAGCGTGATGTTCTTTTCGACACCGAGAGCCATGAGCTCTTCTATTTGCGCCATCTGTTCAGGCAGCGCATGGAGCCGCTGCAGGATAGACATGTAGTGCGCGTAGGTGAGGCGCGGCATTTTGGTGAGCAGAGATCGCAGATCAGACTTGGGATTGCCAAGATTGCTGATTGTCATCAAGTAGCTGCCAGAATACTTAATCTTAATTATTTATATTAGCATTTAGCGTTTGTTGCTTTACGTTGAATGATTACCTGATAATAAAAAAAATGACAACAACGGAATAATTAGGGGATGGACAATCGGACTGTTCAGTCGACAGAGTATGGCGGGGCTCTACAAAACAAAAGTGCACTAAGACCCCTTAGCTTCAACATCAAGATCCAAATCTACGTTATAATTCAAAGGAAACCCACATGGAGATCCGGAGAAGCCAAATAATTTACTAACAGCTTAATATCAATGCCACTTAAGAACGATACCCACTAACAGCATTGAAAAATAAATGTAAATACTGAAACAGAATAAAGAGACAGGAATAATTTCCCCGGTTTTGATTTCAATATAAATTGCTTGGATCTGATAGCATTTACTGAAGATACCACCCAAAATCTCCAATTGACGTAAACCGACTCGTCCATTAAACTATAGCAGTTGACAATACGATTGAATGGCGATGGAAATAATTACCTGGCGAAGCGCTATTCATTTATTTTTATTTTATTTTTTGGCCGGTTAATAAAAAATACGTTTAACTTTTAGCTGAATTTGCTCCTTAAATTTAACAAAAATATATAATACTGCCATTATTCATTAGTATAATAAATTATACTTCCATACATTATTACTCACCCTTGGTACGTAGCGCCATCAATGTAAGTTTGTAAAGTGTACTTTAGGACCCGCATGTTGACGAGGTCTTGATGACGCGTGAGGTTGGCCTCTAGCGTCTCGGCCCTGGCTAGGAACTGTTCCACGTCCGCCAGTCTCTTTGTTATATTCGTGCAGCGTGATGTTCTTTTCGACACCGAGAGCCATGAGCTCTTCTATTTGCGCCATCTGTTCAGGCAGCGCATGGAGCCGCTGCAGGATAGACATGTAGTGCGCGTAGGTGAGGCGCGGCATTTTGGTGATCAGAGATCGCAGATCAGACTTGGGATTGCCAAGATTGCTGATTGTCATCAAGTAGCTGCCAGAATAGTCAATCTTAGTTTATTGATATTAGCATTTAGTGTTTGTTGCTTCACGTTGAATGATTATTTAATAATAACAAAAATGACAACAACGGAATAACTAGGGAATACATATGTCAATCGGACTGTTCAGTGAGCAGAGTAATGTAGGATTCTACAGAACAACAGTTCATCAATAGCCCTTAGCTTTATCATCAAGGTTTAATTCTACGTTATAATTTAGAGAAAATCCATTCAGATCAGGAGAAGCCAAATAATTTACTAGCTGCTTAACTTCAATGCCACTTAAGAACGATACCCAATAACAGAAATGAAAATTAATATACAAATAAAATAGGATATTGAGATGCTAATAATTTCTTTGGGTTTGATTTTAATGATGTCTAAACGATGAATCAATGGTTAAATATGAATTGCTTTGAGCTGATAGCATTTAGTGAAGATACCAACCAAGATTTCCACACGGTGGTATTGGGAAAGAGTGAATCAGTGCTCTAATTATCCGATTATCATTTCATGCCAGAGAATACACCAAAAACATGAATGAAATAAATCTATGGCATAATAACTGGGAAGCCTCTTAATTTTTGCCATGCAGGTACATTCTTTGCTGATGCCTATGATTTACCTAGCAAGATTCAAATAAAACAATTGACCTAAACTAGCCTCGTCCTTTTAATTATAGCAGTTGTCAACACGATTGAATTGCGATTGCAATAATTACCTGGCGTTACCAATAGTCTTTTCTTACTGTTTAATAAAAAATACTCTTGAAATAATACAAACATTATTCATTAGTACAATAAATTATACTACCATTCATCATTATTACTTACCCTTGGTACGTAGCGCCATCAATGTAAGTTTGCAAAGTGTACTTGAGGACCCGCATGTTGATTTTGTCTTGATGACGCGTGAGGTTGGCCTCTAGCGTCTCGGCCCTGGCTAGGAACTGTTCCACGTCCGCCAGTCTCTTGTCGTACGCTGCTAGGGACATGTTCGTGAGGCGGTGGTCGAAGTCATGGAAGCCCACCTGACATAGTGTGGAAGATTAAATTAGATTCTCACAATGAGAAGTTTTGCGGTATGAACTGGTGGACTTAAACAAAACGCATGAGCTCATGCGTTTTGAGGTCTTCGCAGAGAGAAATTCAGTTAGAAAAAAATGAAGCAAAAGTACATGATTTTTCTGACAGCTTTTAATGTAACTGACATAAAAATTTTCTTTAAAATTAAATCTCCAGGCGCAACGAATGAGTATGCGAAAAATGAAGTAAATGAAGTAATAAAGTAATAAATGAAGTAAAAATTAAGTAATGAAGCACGTGAAGTAACGACATAAGTGATCTATAACCGAGTCGAATTTTAGATTCCATTCAGGATCGCCTCGGGCTCCATCGACTCGGCTTCGAGGTGAATCGGGTGCAAATCGCTACCTATCATATTCGACTGGAAATTCGGTGTCGATTGCACGATGGGCCGAATCTGAGTAATATAACCAAAATGAGCAACTGGCCACGCTGTCTCATCTCAGACACTCGTATTTGAGCGAACCATGGTCATCTCCCGCTCATGGAATGGCGTCGATGTATGTACACGCGTAAGTTTGTTAAGGCATACCACGGAACGACGTGAGAATTGACTTTACTAATTTTATGAGCTTACGTTGTAGTTAGATAGTAATTTCGTTAATTATAGGACAAAATTTTCTGAACTTATTTTCCTACATTTAAGTATCACAAGCTGCTTGAAGGCATGGAAATATGATTTAGAGGTGCATGAGGAGAAAAATACTTGATAAGCATGTGGCAGAAAAAAATTAATGCTTGTAGCTCCATGAGATAAATATCAAATCTTTATCATAAAATGTACATAACAAATATGTAAGCTGTTAATTAGCCGAAAAAGCAACAGAAGAACGTTCGGTTTTGCATTCAGGGCCTACCAGTTTTTCTATTAAATGATCAGGTCACTATGATTTTGGGATGAAACTGCTTGATATTATGATGACTGCATTGCCTGATGACAGGCATTGAAGAATGTACCTTCGGTCATACAAATAAGGTCTACACAATTTCGATATTTTTAGGTTGCATTCACAAATGTATCATATTGTGGTGCGGTTACATAATTCCTTCAATCAATTATGATCGTTTTATTCAATGGCGGTTGTCCGTACTGGGCGTTACTCATCGTGGCGTGAGTGCCATAATATCCAACTCTGCACAGGCAAAAAATTAAATTATTAGGTCAAACAACATCGATGACAAAGCTGATCAATGCTTAGCGGTTCTTGTTCCTCATGGTTAATTTATCATATTCGCAGGGCGAAATTTGTTGCTAGACTTGTTAAATGCTTAAATATCTTTCCGGTTTCACGTGATGAAGCTGGAGGGAGTGAGTATTGACACGTATACGACGCTACACGTTTGCCTTACCGGCGGCAGTTCACGGTCAATTCTAGTGATGATCAGATGGCGAACGGCGAACGTTGCTCATTTCAATCGTATAATCGTATTAGGAAAAGTGAACTTGTGAAGTATCTGACTTAAAATAATATATTTTAAATACTAAATATTATTAGAAACTACAGTGACTACATTGCTTAAGATATGCCCTTTGCCGAGTTTCAATAACTGTGCAATGCAACGTATGAAGTACCTTATAGCTTTGTGTTGTTTAATAAAATGAGTAACCCGGTTCTGGAAAGTATTTTTAATCAATTATACATCCAAAAAGTTACTTTCATCAAAACACTCACACTAGCCCTGAGTTCTCGAATATAAAGTGCTCGGTCTATCGGAGTAAATGGTCGTTAACTCATGATTTTAGTGGCCAAGACTCGGAGTAAGATTGTGGGTAAATGGTTAGGTTTTTAATCGGAGGACAGTGCTCAAATTTTTCATGGCCAAGATTCGAAATAATATTGTAAGTAAATGATTAGGTTTTATTCGGGGTAATTGGTCGATTTTGCTGGGCAATATTCGGAGTAAGATTTTAAGTAAATGATCGGTAACCTATTAGGCTATTTATGCAGATTGTGATCATCCGCTCGGTTTACTATCTACTGAAGGGGCTTTTTAACGCACTTTTCAGATTCGGCTGTGTCCATGCTGAAGTCATCAAGTGCCAGATACGAGCGACCCACGTTCGCCCTAAGCTCGCTTGGTCTGTGACCGGATTGTTATCAGACGGCAGACGCTTATTTTGCTCGTGCAACCAGAACGTAAAGCGAACATAGAGCCGCAAATTTAAGACCTGGCCGAGCTAAAGGCGTCTTTAATTCAGAAGCTAACCACCCTAAAAATTTGATAGTGACTAAATTACGTGCATAATATCTCAAGTCTCCGAACCACAGAGAAGTAAATGCTTATTTATAAACGTTGATGACGGCGGTTCGCCTTGAATACGGTACCCGGTCAAATAATGTCTACTCTGATTTTTTTATCAATTTGCAAGCTTCATCGTTGCACCTATTTTAGGAAAAAGAGGTTTCAGTGTAGAAGAAGGAGAGAGATACTGCACCCGGCATCGATCGATACGATGTCTTACTACACGTCATCATTGTGGACAATAGCAATAATATTACAACAATTCTACATTGCTGCAGGCTATCTTAGAGATTTCACCCAAGGTTGACAAAATGGTGAGGTACATTTACGTTTGAGGTAAAACAATAGAACCTAAATTCGCGATACCAGGTGCCTAGTTTCCAGATTTCAACCTTTCTATTTTTTCTGGGATTCCAGATTTCAACCTTATATTTTCTTACTCCAATGCGCAGTATTTCCTAAAACAAAGCTGGAGAATGAACATGCGGTAAACTAAAAATAACCTTAAGACTTTATGGCGAGGATTTGTACATAGTTTATCGTTGGTATCACTTCAACTGTGCGTTTGACAGATTTTAAGTGAAACTCTGAATTTATTTTTCAAATATCTGCTTTCACTGTGCCTGGATTTAAGTGTCAAAAGAACTATTGTTTGAGATGAATAGAAAATTTTGAGAACTGCAATCCAACACTATAATTTCAGCTCACACTCGTTGCAAACTCCGGCCGATCCTGAAGCAACCATTGCCAGAAGTCGTCGGCAAGCCGCTGGAACTCTTCGGAAAGTTGCGGCTGTTCAGGAGGAGCCTCGCACACGCAACATTCGCCTGCGTCTGTCATGTGTGCCTTTGTTTTTAGTAACACGTTCCTGACATTGAAATAGAGCTTCAGAACTAATTTATTTATTGAATATAATTTGAACGTAATACTGGAACTTCAACGGGTTGTTTGCATTTTAGGCATTAGTCAATAGATATCTGAAAGAAAATAATAAAGACGGTATTAAGTGTTCTGTGAAACAAATTGTTAATTCAAACCGTTTTATTCAGATGAATATTTTTTCCAAAGGGATTAGATCGCAATATGTTTCTGACGTAACAAAGAGTTATTCTACTGCTTGCTGAGAAAAATTGTTTAAAATCATCATTCTATTTCCTTGCGCACAGCAGGCCCGATTCAGTGCCAGCGAACATTAATGTAAAAACGCAACTGGTTGAAATTTGAAATAAACATATCGGAAGTTCCATGTTAAATGCGGTTATCCGAGCACTTCTAAATTCTATATTTGGGGTGAAAATACAAATTATATTGAAAACTGGCTTAACAAATAAAGAAAAAACGCATGCGGTCGAGTCGCGACATTGAGGCACAGTGATAATTTTCAGCCATTACCTAAAATGAAATGAAACATAATTATAACGGATTAGCGTTGTTGTTAATTAATTACACTGTCGCTGTTTGCAGCGGTGTTGCAATCAAATACGAATTAATAGGCCTGCTGCAACAGCAAAGCGCAGTATCAATGATCGACCATCCGCCGATATGCGGTGCTTCCAAATGAGCCTAGCCAGAAGCCAAACCGAGCCTTTAACCGGCATTGGGTCAGATAAAAAAAGAGGACATTTTTGCAAGACAAAAAACCGGACATAAACGGGTCCAGGTATGTTGGTTTAGCGAGCGGATAGCGCCAAAGAGAAAGTTTGTAAGCCTGAACTGTTGCTCTGTTGCAATGTCCCTCGCTCGCACATTCAACTAAGTAGACCTGTTATTTCTATCGAGGTCGAAATTAAACTTCTAAAATTGTTACGTTTACTTACTAATCAGTGGCTGAGAAATTACATTTACTTTCATACAACATGAACGAATTATCAAACAAAGTGTAATTATCAAATAAACTCACAAGTAATAACCTTACATGTATAATGAGAGAAAACATAGATAGTTAATAAAATGCAAGAGGTCGCACGCAGTAAATGGGGACATTGAAAATAGAGACATGCAAGAAGGTCCATTGTATTCGTTATACGATCATGGCACATCAAATAATTAATAAGCTGCCTTAGTGGGTTATCTCTTCGGATGTAATAATCAGGAACTAACTTAAAAGACAAACAATTTTTAATAAATGACAATATCATAGCATCTTACTGAAAGTTCCGATTAAATTAAGAAAAAACACACATGCCCAATTATCGTTGTTAAGTGACAAAGCCAGCTGCATAATTAATTTAATATCGACTAATTTTAGCGCTACGCCAACAGAGGCAGTTGTGTTGTCAACTGACTAACAGAAAATAAGTTAATTTTTAGCAGCAGTGAATTAATAAAATTTATTTAATGCCTCGTTGCCGCTGTGAGATCCAACATTTATAACGCACCGCACTGTCTAATGACAAGTCGCAAGCATGAATCACTGAAGAATTGAGACTAAATTAGCAGGATGGTAAAATTCATTTCCTATGCAAGAATAAACTCTAGACAAACTCTTACTTGACTCAAATCAGTGGAAAGTTGACTAGAAACATACCTTTACGTAAAATTAACAATCACATAATTAGATTTTGTATTTCATATAGTAATATTGCAACACAGAAAACATAAGTTCGTTTTAAAAAATATCACACCACAATCGTCTCTCGGTAATATAAAAAAGCACCATTAATTGTTTGAACATGAGCAGCCAACAATCCTTCGATGAAAGTCGATGAAAGGTCCCGTGGCTGGTCCACATCCGCACCGAAGGTTGTGGGGCATAAGTCGCGGTCACAGCCGCCGTAGTAACCACGGGGGTGCAGGAGAAAGTCACCGTAGCACAGACGACGCCAGAGCCAGGACGTGCACATGCTTACTTCGAAAATTCCGTCCGTATTCGGGCAGGGCTTCCAATAGTAGTTTTACTCCATCATATTCAGTAATTAACCGAGGCTGAACAATGTGCAATTCACAGAAGCTGGCACAGCAGTATTAACGCAAGTCACACGGGCACCACGGGAGATGCAGTCATGGAATCGACGAACTGCCGAAAATTCCTGAAAGCGAGGTGAAGTGAAGTAGCAGGGATGAGATTAGTTTGTCTTTAAATGTTCAGGTTGGAGCTACCTCATACGTCACCCAGAATTGAGGCGCAGAGAAAGTATTAAAGATGCTATGACCCGTAATTAATCGTATCGAAAACTATATTAAAGTTTTTTGTTTAACTATTTAGCACTAAAAAATTCGTTTATTTATTTCCAATTGCAATTAAGGTTTAAATTTGAACTTGTTTCAGTCGGTAACCATCATAATTTATCAATTAAACTCATTTAACTAGAACCTTGTCATTACTGTTAAAATATATATTTTACTTTTGAATTTTGTTCAAAAACATAGTTCCAACTGTTCAAATTTAATTTATCATGCATTCATTATATTCCACTTAATTTTGCTAAGAATTATTTCCATCATCCATTTTAAGTCAAATTAACAGAAATAGGATTAAATAAATTATCGCAGTCCAGACGAATAGGGCACATGACACCGATTTCCTCAAGTTGTTTTCGCTTGAGTATATTTACACCGCAATCATAATTTTACTAAATCAATTGATTCAAATGAACGGTGAAATTTTCGATTGGAATATTCATGTGTCATAATCCAGAACAATGGAAATTATTTCAAACCGTTAAAATGGATATATTACAAGAAACAGAATGCTCGAGGCTCGCCTAAAAAGTTTATGGTTATCAAGGTCTCAATTCGCACCCACCTGTTTACAGAACGACTACGATTTTCTCTCCTGATAGCCATTCTCAGTGCTTGCATTTCTCTCAATTTCGCCGTTAAAGAAGACGCGTACGTATATGCTTGTTACGCGCCTCTGAAAATTCTCTCAAACAATGACGATCCCAAGACGCGCGGTTCATTATAGAAGTGTCCACCCTCGACCTGAAGCTCCCAACTGAAGCGAAGGTTATTTATAATGACTGGAAACGCCGTCTTTAAACACAGACATTACGCATAGCGATTAAAACTTATTTTAAATATGCTCGATATTTTGTTAGGACAGATTAAATTCACTCTTATATGCGATATGATTGGAAAATTTTAATAATTATTTCAGTTGGAGACTCATGTTTAATTGGTTATTAAACGTTGTAGTAATGTTACAAAATTGTGAAATCTGAGAGAAAGACGCATGCATGGGAGCTGGAAGGCGGCCGCAATGTTCGCTTTTGAAGCAAGCTGACGTGATGTCAAAGCTAGTTGTTACTCTTCCTTATCGATAATTTTTGACCAGTTACTGGTAACCTTGCTGCATCACTGCCACACTAAATATGTCGCAGAAACCTCAGAGGCCGTCACCGGAAGGAAGTGAAAGAACAAATATCGGGATCCATGGTAATTTAGCATCATCATATTAACTACTTCTTGCATTTAAATTTAAATTGAATGTAATAATTTTGGTGAGTAATATATTCGATATAATTTGTTTCTATATTATTAAATACTTTCGTTCAAATTTGAGCGAAAAGTTTGCAGAAAAAACTACATTTCACTTAATTTAGGTAAAGTTACAATAGCATACAAATTGCACGTCGCTAGACCGATCGCGTTACTCTCTGAACGATTTTCATGATATATTACGTTAATATTATTTAAAGCTAATTAGGAATGTTTCATTGAAAACATAACTGATGTACGATATTACACATTAAAACAGGTACAAACCGTATATGAAAACTCAACCTTCCATAGCACGCGAAACTTGAAATGTGAACGAATTCACAAGCGATTGACGTCCGCTGGAAACCGGCTTCTGACTCGGTTCAAAACGGCAAGAAAGTAAATGCACAAAATCGGATCATCTAGAAGACAAAAACAACCTGTGAAAAGATACAACCTGTGGCCGTTTTTATTCCAATTTAACACTAGAAACCCGCATATGTGAAAAAAAAAACATGGCGAAACAGTTTATTTTCACGTGGCGGCCGGTCACTAGAAAGCTCGCGAGACCTTTTTTTGAACACTGTATGTGTTTTTTTGAACACTGTAACCGTTGAAAACTTCTCACGGAAAAGACATCAAAAAGTGGAGTAACATCAAGAGATGTGAAATGTTTTTAACTTTTCTAGGTTTCATTTGTGGTACTCAATTTTCATCGATTGAGTGCTATCAATAATCCATGGCATAAATATTTAGAGAACTGAAAATTAAGATTCTTTGATTTGTTTTCGCACAATTTCCGTCGGGATTTAAGTCCTTCCTCTCCTCTCACTGACTTTGAACTTGTCTAATTGGTTTCAAGTACAGTAATTGGCATGATGGATGTTCAACAATGATTCATAAATTCGAGTTGCAGGAGCTACGAGGTTCGATTTGGTCTGAATAAAATTCTTACAGTTGTGTGAAGACATTACATTTGGAGTGACGACTTTGCAATCTCCAATTTTGATAGTATACAGTAAAGCTGGCTGAAGCAAAAACTTTTGTATAAGCTTAGCGCTACTTATGAGGCCAAAGTTTTTGGAGCAATCAGTCGACGACACAGAAGCTAACGACAGAAGACAATAAATTCGTAATAAATTCACGGTGCGCAATAAATTCGTAAACAAAGGCATAGGATTTCAAATTGTATTTTCTGCCAGACGTGTGGCATTCAAAACGAGTTCAGTTCAGCGTTAAATAAAATATGACATTGATGCATATATTACTTGATGCTCAACTGGCATTCGGTATGTTTTGCTGTAATAAATAAAACTATTCAATTTTCGCCATAATTCTCGAAAACCATTATTCATTCAACTAAAGATGATTGGCAAAAATTACAGTTCTATATGCGTTTTATTCGTTTAATCAACGGGTGTTTGTTCTAGCACACAACTAATTTCAATCATATCTTTTAAGACGCTAAGTGCTCAGGAAGTTATTTTGCTTTCATAATCTGTCCGAAGTGACGATTTTTATCAAAGAAATAAAGTTCTGAGCACATGCACAGCTC